AGTAATTTATAATATTTCTTAAAAGGATATACTTATCATCAAATCCTCTAAAATGTTGATAGCTACAAAACGCTAATTGAAATAGCAAATGTAAACTACATATTTGCATCTACTATGAAAATGTACAAAATAACCTACCCTGCTAAAGTGCTCAACTTCTAACCTTTAAGAAGTAGATAGTAGCCCTGACCGGGTGGCTCACTTGGTTGCAGCGTCATCTAGTACACCAAAAGGTTTCGGGTTTGATTCCCAGTCAGGGCACCTTAGGTTTCGGGTTTGACATCCGGTTGATGTCTGTCTGTCTGTTTCCCCTTCCCTTCCTTCCTTCCTTCCTTCCTTCCTTCCTCTCTCTCTAAAATCAATAGAAATATATCCTCAGGTGACGATTAAAAAAAAGAAGAACTAGAGATATGCATATCCCAAATGCCTTCATTTCAATTCCATTCCAATGCATATTATTTTCCTAACCCAAACCAAATCAACATGAAACATTCTAAAGGGGCACTCCTTTGCTATGGCCATTTCAGTAAGCGGAAAATTTCTTTAGTAATTCACTTTCTGTGGGAATTACATAGTTTAGTACAGCATTATGACTTAGGAGAGGCTCTGGAATCAAACTTGGGCTTGAATTTAGACTGTATCATTTGCTACCTACATAATTCCAGGGAAACCTTTATTTCCTCATCTGTAAAATGGGGGTAGGGTAATACTAGTAAGTCCTCAGAATATTGCTGTGAGGACTAAAATTAAGTGAGATCCTATATGTAAAAAGGTTTATTAGCACAATACACAGCATTAGCACAGTAAATGTTAACGTAATATTATTATTAATATCATAACAACAGGTAATTCTAAAGTATGAAAACTGTTCACAACTTGCCAAACATTTAAAGTCTTATAGCTACACCATTTCTCTAAGAACAAATATACATATTTGTGTAAGATTATTTATTAACATATAAAAATGTTTTTCAGCATGCACGTAATTAAAACTTTTCATTACAACACACCAGTACAGTTATATTTGTGTGTACACACACGCACACACACACACACACACACAAATGAGTCAGCACATACTGTTAAGAACTACCCTGTAAATATGTTAAGAACTTGTCTCCTGGCCATAGTGGTGGTGTGTGTGTATAGGGGGGTTCAGATCACCAATTATGTTTCTAACTCATATATTTAAATTTTTAAAAATATTAACATGGCATGTTAAATATCTTAAAATCCAGCCATCTGTTAGTGAATTAAAAACTCCATTTATATATACTACTCTAGTCTATAAAGTACATTCATGAGTATTACCTCATCTAATCCTTTTAACAGCACAGTGAAGCAGGCTTTTACCATTATGCCCATTTTACCACTGAGAAAACTAAACCCCAACCGGGCTGAATTTCCCAAGAGCGCACAGCTAGTGACAGGCCTGGTCTTCTGACATCACCACAACTGTTACATTACATTGGCCTGGGACATTTCAGTTTTTAAAAAGACAGAAAAATGGTGCTCAGTAATTTAGGCGTGTCAGAGGACTCTACAGGGAATTACATGTCTGTCAGTTGTACTCTCATTTCCTTTCTTTATTTCCAACTTTAGTATTTCAGGAATTTCACAAGTACATGTAACTATAAAATGTAGATAAAGAGAATTCACCCGAACCTGATATTTCCTGCAGTGGCCAATTAATACCAGAGACCACTTTCCCCTTATATTTAGCCCATTGTATTTAATCTCTTTGTAATGACTGAATTTATTTCATTTTAATATTAGGTCCTGAAAAGACACGTTACTATAAAATAAATTGAACCATTTATAATGTGACTTGCATATCAGACCAGATTCTATAAATTCTGACACATCTAAAAAAAATCTATATAATGTCTAGTATACAAACATTAACAAATTTCAGTTCATATTTATGAGGGAGGAAAAGGTTAGTGTTATTATAGTGGTTTGGTTTGTTATGTAAACAAGTACTTAAATGATTACTACAAAAGGCAGAGTTTTCTTAAATGAATACAGCAGCTCTCAGCAATAATATTCCAGGAACTCTGCACAAGGGAAAAGCTGGAGCTGATATTAGCCAAACAGGTAAGAAAGGCATTTCCCTGATTCTGCATACACTCCAACTAAGGCACATACAACTTATGCTTACTTTTTTTAACATTCCCAGGTGTCCCTTTCTCTTCTCAAAAACCAAAAAGGGACCATCCATGCAGATAAAAATACCCTACAAATTCAAGAGCCTAAAAGAAGTCAGAGCAGCCTGAAAGAGAAAAAGAATATAGAGACATACAATTTTTTTTAACCTAACATTTCAAGTACAACCCACATACTTGAAACTACATTCTCTTTCTGGGGCTGCTCACTGGCCTCGATTACATCAATCCTGTAACACTGTGAACTGTGGCGATAGATTGGTTCATGCCTCTAAATACAACAGAATTTTTCCAAGGTTATACATACTGTGATATGAAGAACATTTTTGCAGCATCTTATTTTCATTAATCAGTTTGGATATTCTACCACTCCAAACATTACGAATAAAGAAATTTTCATGATCGTCTAAACTTTCCAAAGTCAACCAAAGGCTGTGGTAGTGGCAACAAGTACTAAGTAGGCAGAATTGAACCTGGTTAAAATGCTGCTACTACTGGTTGGTTGTCTACTTTGAGCATATATCACACTGGGAGAAATTAAGGTGCAAAGACATTTTATTTACAGCAAAAAATTCTAAGAAATTGCCACATCATTACCATAGCCCAAAAATCTCAAGGTCTTGGTAGAACAGCC